AACATATATTAAATCCTTGGGGTTTACAAGTTCATCACTTATCCCAAAGAAACCTTCCCATATATGTTCTTATAAAAAGAGCTGTTTTCTGTCCAGATGACACACAAGAAAGCAAATACAGTTATGCAGAAAAGCAATCTTCTAGTTTGTTCTTTCCACTATGAAGCCTCTCACCTGAATTTCATTTAGATGGGCAGGGTTTACTATATTTACTTTAACTGCATTCCCTAAATCACTGGCAGGTTGCAAAGGATGTCATTTAATTTTACCAATGCGAAACTGATCACATTAATCCATAGAGCAGTTAGAGCTGAGTCATAAAAACTATAAGCCCCCTTATTTCTGACACGAATGAATAAACATCCTTGTATTTGCCTCCTTCCTATAATACAGGTTAAGGCTCTTATTTCACTGTGTTGTGGGGTAGGGTGGATTTGAAAACCTCTATCGAGTCAGAACAGAGTTAAATCTTTCTCACAAGCACAAAATCAAGTCTACATCATCCTTTATTAAATGGTTCTCTTTTTCATCACCATTTTTTTTTTTTTTTTAAGGAGGAAACCATTCTAACATTCTCAGGAAATAGAGATAACTAACCCACTTTGTCAGAAATCCTGAGGGGCCATGAAGAATGAAGAGATTGTGAATTAGGCTTCTTATCAGCAAAAGGCTTCATTCTAAAGCAAGGACAGCCTGGGAACCATCTGCACATTTCAATCTGTGATTGCAACATTTGGCCAGGCAAACTCATTCCAGAAATATTTTTACGAAGAGTGTATGCTCTCCATCTATGGTCTCAAGCAACCTGGGGACAGCTATTTGTCATAGCATCTCTACTTTTTCTCCCTTGAAAATGGTGGGTTCAGCCACCCACTGCACACAATAGTGTTTATTTTGTTTTTTTAACCCCCATTTTTTGGTTGAAACTCTAGTAACCCATGAACGGACTAACCCTTGCCAAAAATCTCTTCCATCCGGCTCATTTGGTCATTGCCTGATGGCTAAATCCCCTAACCTACATACCTCCAGGCAAAGAACTGTAGGTTCTTGGCCTGTGTCCCCCAGCGAGGTGAGACACAACCAAGCCAGGAAGGCACACAATCTCAAAGCACCGATTCGAAGGTCTGATTGGTGCATGCTGATGATTTCTGAATACGCCAGCAGCTAGAACTATGGTTTTCTACTATGAAAAGGGGCTAATGAAAAATGATAGGAAAAAAATCACTTCTCTGCCTTTGCAAGCAGTTTTTTAAACCCCCAAGCTTGAAATCAAGATAAGAAAGTTCCAAATTGATTAATATGGAAATTATTAAACCATCAAAACTGCTGATGTCGTAAACAAAATTCGTCAACAGCCACTAAGAATTCATTAAAAATAAATTTATTGTTTTAAAAAAAAAAAAAACAACTGTGCGATAATGTGCTTCTCAAGACATGTTTGAATCTGCTTTGTTGTTCATCTCTTCTCAGGCTTCAGTTTGGCAAGGCTAAATGAGAAACACGGTACAGACACACAGTTAGTAGGTACAGGTAAGGGAAGCAACAATAATTTGTGTTTGTTATTCTCTCAAATGCTTATGAGGTGTAATCCAAACTACAACACTGTTTTCAAATCTGATCATGTTCGTTGTGTTCTGTGAACTATTATATTCTAAAGAGGGAAAGACAGCAGTATATCTGGTTTCAAGTAAAAAGGTTTCAAATTAACTTATCTATTTCCTTTTACAAAACTGAATAAAAATAATGCTTTAGGGACCAAGGTAATCATTTTAAATGTAATTTGAGGACTCACTTTTAATGGTACTATTGCAACATTACTTTTGCTTTAGTTTTCCATAGTGATAGGCTCTCAGTTATCCCATATGGACAAAATAAACGAGATGGGCACAATAAGCTCACTTCTAAGAACTTCCCAGCGTACACACAATCACGGTTACTTTTCACACAAAGGATTATCACATTGAAAGGAAATGCCCAATTTTAAATACTTAATATGTGAGAATATAATCCTAACTACAGCATGTTACTGTATTATTGAGCATTTCAATTTTGAGATGCAAACTAAGGCAAAAATATGCTATTTAATAACACTGCTGCTTTCCTTTAGAAGTGAAGATATTTAAACATTAACTAAGATCTATCTTCTTCTAAATTACAGACATAATTTCCTCTTTAGCAATAATTTCACATAATTATAGAATTCTCAGAAATATTTTAAACTATTAAATTTGAGCAGCCAAGCATCTGAGAATTAAACATATACAGAAACTCAAATTTTGAGACTCTCTGCTGTACACTCTGCACACAGAATGATTACATTAACAAGTCAGGTCTACCTGCTTAGTAAGAACACTCAGGTTTCTTTGATACAAAGCCATTTTAATTAAGGCCACAGGAGCGCCTTATGCAAGAGAAAATGTAATACGTACAAAGAAATTTGTACAACACTGTTATTTCTTTCCTTAAAGATTTAAGTTCGTGATTTATTAAACTTCTACTAAGGCAGCTTTTGCGCTTCATATACTCTATAATTTATAACACGCAGAGGAGTGACTCATAGGACTCACAACATTCTTTCCCAGAGCTGTTTATCAATAATTAAATAATTTTTGTGAATACTGTTTTATATGTGAAATAGAAAGCTATATTGTTGTACACACCAATGAACAAAAACACCTACTTATTGTGCCATTCTTCTTCTTTACTAAGTTTTTAAAAATATGGTACATCTATTTGACCCTCACCAAACAACCAAAAATGGCAGTTATCTGTAGGGTAGGAATTGTCAACAGGTGTGTGCTTGTGTGTGTGAGTGTGTGTGCAGTTGGGGGTCAGGGATTAGGGTGTTAAGACGGTGGGAGAAAAGCCAGTGAGCCTGTCTTTAAAGGAAAACATGTTACTTATCAAAGTTAAGTGACTATAGAGGAAAAACCTCGAATGCCCTGGAAAGTTAGACCCCCACTATCTAAGTCATTACCCTTTCCATTATCTGAAGAAGAAAAAAACAGGTAACCCCGCCCCACCCCCACACTCACATACACACTCCTGCTTTGTATTCCAGACTTGCATTTCGCCTGCCTTAAAAGTTGTTGTAAGAACTGTATCAACTCATCTATGTTTTAAGTGGGTTATTTAAAAAGAACACTGTTAGACACCACAATCCATGCTCCTTAAAAGGAAAAAAATTTTTTTTTTAAATTTTACCACATTTTCCTATGTTATTAAAAAAATCATGAAAAATCAACCTGACCATCTACTAGTCTCAAATAATTAGATCCAGTAAGTATAGAAATGTTTTGAAAACTCTGACAATGACTTAGGATCTTCTCGAATGCCAAAGACATATACTATTGTTGTAAGAGATGGTGTAAGGGAAGAGATAAGAACTAACAGTCAATAAAACAAGAAACTTAATTTTATGCTTAATAAGTTGTTCTCTACTCATTTTTAGGGAACTCATTTTTAACGCTTCCAATTTAAGTATTTTTGAAGCTTCAATTTTTCACAATCAGAACAGCACCATGTTCAAGAAATCTAAATAATATACTGTAACTTTTCTTAAGATACAGTTACATCCTCCGTATCACTGTATGTTGCTCTCCTAGGAGATAAAGCTCTGGTTTGTGGAATCCACATACTTCCTTCTGTAAGCACTCCCATAGCAGCTGATTCGACAATATCAGTTTGGATTTTAAATTTCATGAAGTGAAACTGGGAAGAACTATAATAGCAACTAGGATTAGCAACACGCCAGTACACTAAGTATAACACAACAGGAAGAATTTCATCTCCAAGATAGTTTGGACATGGAATATAATTGAGAAAGAGGATCTGAATGAAAATGCATCTACAAGGAATAGCATATTAACAGGGAAAACACTAATATAAAACTGGAAATTCCAATGTTCTGAAGCATTGGTGATGGAAATCCAATACAACTCTGCTGACAGGCTAGGCTTCATGTTATCTAAATCTGTGGATTACTCTTCCCCTTGCACTTAATGTAATCAGACATCTAGAGAACTCAGAACACATCTGTTGTGCTGTGTAGCTTGCAGGTTGGGCTATGAGCCCTCAATTTTGTGGGCCTGACATCGTAACTCCCTGAGTTATAGGGGTCAACATCTGAGTCATAAATCAGCAAATTCTATGAAAATAAAAAACTCTTGTTCACATTATGCGATCTAAAAAAGTTAAAGGAAGAGATTCAAAATGCAGATAGCTACTTTTTGAAGTCAAATGGCTAAGATGCATGTTTTCAATTGTAAACCATCATCTTGATATGTTTAGGAGTTTTAATTTATGGAACAATCAAGACATCTGTATATTTAACATTAAATACCTGAATATTATAAATTGCCTTAGATGAATATTTATGGGAGGTTTTCAGTGCAACTTCTAGAAAACTTGTCACTTTATTGTGTAGCAATGATTTGTAAAAATGATATGCTAAGTAATACTAGAGTATAATTTAAGGACACAAAACAACTGTCAGGAAACAGCCAGAAACTGCGTTTAATGAAAGCTTTATAGACTGAAGTAATAAGTATTAAATTAATCAACCAGCTTAATTGAAGCTCTATTCGAAACATTTTTTAATAGACTTGTTATTAATGAACCTTTAAATGCTCCCCCTAACTTGAGCTCTATGTTAAATTTAAATAATGAACCATTGTTCACACACACAAAAGAACAAACAGGAGTTAATAGCCCTTTGTCTCACTGGGGCTTTTACTCTTATGCATAGCTAAGACACAGATTTGTCCCTCCTTCCTCTCAACAGAGTTAGTTGGCTGGCAAGACATCTTCTTCAAGGCTGCTAAAATCCTCTGAAACAAGTAAAGTGAAATGCTTAAGAAAATAAAAATGCTGCCTAAATTAGAAAAGAATGTTGGTTGACCACAGAGATAAATGTTTTCAAGTCTATGCCTTTACTACTTCCTCTTGCCTTCACACTGGTATGTTTATAGATTATCTGGTTTGGGTTGGTCAAGACTTACCTGAACATGTCTCCCAAACCCTTCAGCATTCCCTTCTTGGCTTTTATTTTGTCCTTTTCCTTATCTCTTTCTTTCTTCTTTTCTTTCCCTGCTTTATCTTTTCTCCTATCAGTCTTGTCACCTTTCTCTTGGTTTCCATTCATTTGTCTCTCCAGAGAATGTGAAGGCTGATCACTGGCTGTGGATACAGACTCTCTTCCTGATCTTGAACTTTCTTCTGTGTCTTCTTCCACTTGGAAGATAAAAAGAAAAGGCAACATAAATAAATAAAAAAAGGTAAAGAATACCTTGAACCAAAAGAACAAAAATTAGGACGCTAAATAGTATGTGAGGGTTTTATTTTCTCATAATCCCTACATAGCACAGCTCTAACATCAACATGGACTGTAGTGCTTTACTTCTAAGCAGTTTTAAAACAGAATATGTGATGTGACTGATTACTGTCATATGTCTGTCCCTCCATGAAGGTGATACCGCAAATAGAAAGAACCTGCTTCCTGGCGGAATGCTGATTCTCTTTCAGAAACACTCTCCTCCATACAGATTATGTATTACTGGGGAGGACCAGGTGCTCATCATACAACACAGACCCCCAGAGGGTCCTAGAGAGTGTTTAAAAAAAAAAAAGAAAGAAAGAAAGAACAGGTCACAATGGAGTCACTTTGTTAAGCTTCATTTCACAAAACTGGGAGCTAATAACGAATTTAATTATCTTCCTGCTCTTCAGAAATGTAACCTTTTTTAGGCATCAATCCGGAATTACTATATCAGCACCTATGATATAATCCACTGTCCTTGCTTGTACCATTATACTCTTTGCTAGTAACTTCTTTATCCTAACCCCTACTCTTATTTAAGTCCGTCATTTTGTACAGCTCTTCAATGCCCATTTCAATCTAACAGATGGAATGTGGCCCAATTTATGAAAGGGTGAACAAAGCCGGTAAGATCTTTAAATTTTAATTAGTTGAATTTTGCTTTATAATGGCACTTTATTTGCAAAATGAGGAGCAAAATTGTGACTGTACCTGAGGGGAGAAATCCTAAACTGTGAAGAAATAGACAAAGATGTAAACTAGTAATTTTTTAAAAAAGCTTCAAAAATGGGGGGAAAAAAAGCTTCAAGACTGGCCCTCCCTGGTGGTGCAGCAGGGTAAAGCGCAGCACTGCAAGCAAGCCACAGCCATTTCTGTGCCAGTTAGATCTCCGCCCCACAGGTGACCCACATGGCACAGCAGACCTCTCCTGACACACCCGCTGTTCCCCTCAGCACTATACTTCCCTGATCTGCCTCTTCCGCTCCCCACTCTGTCTCTGGTGAATCCTTTCACACCTCCCCTGAACCCCCGGCCTGCACCCCAGTTCTGAGTAAATCTTTAAAAAAAGAAAGAATTCAAAAAAGCCTCAAAACCTAATAATAAATAAAATGAAAGAGATAAAAAATGAAGTAAAAAGGCTAATTCTTCCAATCCCAAAAAAGAAAAAAATGAATAAACAGCCTTCTCCAAGTGTATTTTTTCCTCATGGGTAAAGATAATGTAGATTCACACTGGCCCCTCATTAATTTGTTCAACTAGTTAGCACACCAAGTGTCATCACAAGGACATCTTTCCTCAGGCTTTTAAATATGTCCATTTGCAATTTCTGTATACAGATGACTGGCTTTCACAGTCTCTGTAACTTTTCCTTCTATTGTCATTACATAAGGCCAGCATCATTAGTAAATGCTACTATATGTTCTAATCCTAAATAATTTTGCAAGTCCATCCAAAAATAGTGAGAGCCTTGAAAATCTGTGAATCCATAACCTCAGTTCCCTAAACTTTGGAGATAAAAGATGACTGAAGAATAACAATAATTTATCCTTTGAGAAAATGCTTAGTAACCATATGATTCAAGGCACTTCAATACCCCAACCTTTGTAACTGAAAGACTGCAAAGTAACCAGATATCTAATTAACAATAGAACCTTAACAATGTCCACAAAATGAAGCATATATTAGTAGAAATTTCATTTTTTATAATGTTGCCCAGAATTTTCTTCCAAATATAAGAATTAATGCAAATTCAGATTACCCTTTGAATGCTAAGCTCTTTTTTCACTTTGTACCAACAAATTACATATCAGTTAAGTGTTTTTGAGCTTCTTTTTAAAACAAGAACACAGAACAGTTAGCCTTTTTCCAATCTTTCACAAAGAACCAAAATCTAAGTTAAATTAGTATATCCTTAGTTTAAATTTAGCCTTGCCTCTCCACTAGATGGGGGTGTATAAGTTAGCAGCATGCAACTATCAAGAGTATAACAAAAGCAGTTAAAACAATCTCAAAATACTAGGATTCTGCAATTAAAGTCTTACAAATCTGAGAAAAGACTATTAAGTGGTAGCATGACTATAGTCAGGTAATGTAGATCTTTTAAAAAATGCCAACTATTTATCATAACACAAAAAGTATAGAATTCTTCATTGGCATATTTGGTTAAAAATATGAATGCATAGCAGTAGGTTATACCCTATCCTATGTACAGTCAAATTGTAAAAATATGAACAGGTTTACATCCAGAAGGTACTATGGAGGTCACTGGGACCAAATCCTTGCTGAGGAAACAGAAGGTATGCAGCCAGCACAATTCAGTCCTGGGCTCTTTCTACTACTATATCCTGGAGAGCTGAACTTCAACAAACTTTCATGAATTTCTTTGATCAACTCTGATTGCTCAATTCCATACTTCATATAGCATGTATTTGGACAATCTGTCACCCACTCAATATACTGTCTTCCCAGAAGTTAATTCCAGCAGTCAGCATTATATTTCAGTAACCTATTTCGCATTATATATGACTGTTTAATGCCATGACTCATGGCTCACAATGATGAAACCAGTCAACAAGCTTTATCAAAGAGACTCTTGAACTGACTGGCAACCATATACACAGTTTTTAAAAAGGCTGACCTTCCTTTGTACTGGATTATCTAAATGTGAGCTATACTCCTTTTCCAAGGGACAGGGCAGCTTTTAAAAATGTTACTTTTTGTCCTCTCTGTCAATTAATATATAAATAGGAGCTGTGCAGGTTTGTCAGAGGAAGTCAGTAACATTGCTAGTGAAAATCCATCATATTTGCTGCCAATCCTTTTCATATTCACAATAATTTCATGATGCATTAAATTTCTGAGGAGTTAAGGTTATAAATTTTGTGTTGTCTACATAGAGTAGGAAAAGAATAGCTAGGCCTACTGGACAAAGAGTTAAGGATAAGTAATATTTTCACATGAGAACTTCCTAAGAAATCTAACTTAAGTAGTGTTGCAGCATCTCGTCTCATCTTGGAACATGGTTGTGTATCATCTGATGGTAAACCACTGCTTCCAGTCTTTGGGAAATAGGAATGACTTCAACTTGAGATAAGGACCAAGTCACTACAAAAGATTCTCAAAAGTCCTCAGGAGTTACAAAAACCTAAGGCTGTTAGTATATCCAAATCAGATTAAGTCAACATTAATTTCCTAAAATTCCCATGTACAAAACTTCTTTTACCTGTTCCTTTATAGTTCTTTCTACAAATGTTATTATACTTCTCATACAGTATAATTACATGTCTTTCTCCCCTTCTCTACTCTCCTAAATAATATATGCCAGGCAGACTGCAGCTGCTCATAAATAGTTGTTAAGTAAAACAACCAACTACTTAAATCTGACTCATGAGTTTGTCTCAACCAAACTATTTTCCAGTCTTTAGGGCATCACCATTCCTCTACCTTAAAGAATAATGCAGACTCTATTCTAATGAAGTCACACAACTGCAGTACAACAGGAAGGTCTACTGCATGTGTTTTAGCTCTAATTGGTTTCTGGGTTACCTTTATGTTATTATTGTTAGTGCTGTATGTATTCTCTAGTGGGTTATACAAGTTCTGCAGTATCTGAAACTCTAAACAAAAAATGAGCTCAATAAACGTAAATGACTTAGTCTTCCACAGCAATCATTATCATAAATCATGAATGGAAGTATCAGTAGCAATTCTGCTAGTTTTCTGCCTAATAGTTTTGGCAGAAATACAAGGGGCATATGTCTGCTCTTGGCTTGGTAACAGAATAAAGGCAGTGCCTTCACAACTAACTTTATGTTGAAGTCATAATGGTTGCCAATCCTTTTCATATTCACAATAATTTTCTGGTGCATGCCGTACACTTATTTTCTAAAATGGGTGAAACAGAAAATTAGTGTTAAATCATTGATTAACATCAAGCTTTGTAACCTAATTTTATAAAATCAAAAATACTAGTTCAATTTCCTGCCAAGCAAGTGGGCTGTTTGAAATGATACATGCACTTTTGAGAATTCTTTATTCTTATTTTGGACCTTTTAATTTAGATAATATATTATTACAGAAAGTCATTTGGGGGTGTACTGATTTAACTAATCCCTTTCAATGCCAACTAATTAAAAATACTTAGCAATATGTCGTTTCATATGTACAAACATAAGATGTTCTTTTAGAGTACCGTAATTATATATGCTTTAAGTTCAAAATTATTTGATAAAGATAAATAATGATCTCTCACTTTACCCAACCCTTTGCAGAATTACTATGGTTTTTAAAAGTTTAAATGAATTAGTTATAAACACTTGATTTAACAATGCAAACATGTATATACGTAATGTACTCACTTATATAAGGTTACTGATTTTTATTTTAAAACCAGACTTTGCACACTTAATACAAGCTTTATAATAAAGTTCAGAAATATTCTATTCCTCTTATACTAAAGAAATATAAAAATCATATAAATAATTTTTCAAGCAAGAAAAGTACTGCTAATTACTAGCACAGTAAATGGCTTGCTCTATTATGTCCATATAGTAAATTACAATGCAAAAACAAAAATTATTAATCTACATTTAGATAATTTATTAGTTTAAAAGATACATAAATTTTACTTATTTTTCTCTTTTTGTTCATTTTTACAGGTTATTTGTTTTCCTTTTACTGACATCTACACAAAAGTGCATATATTTCCAAACAGAAATATTTTGACTAATATTTTTTGTCTGTTGAAACTGCTCTATGTGCTAATGTAACAACCACTTTCCCATCCTACAGAGAAGGATACTGTTTAAAGAAGATATAACATGAGGCTATTTATTTCTTCTTAGTACAGTGCAGTCATTCTACAATTAAGATATACCTAATTACCATGTTTTCAACAAATGCAAATTCAACTCAA